GTGCTCCAGAGAGGCACCTGACGCAAGCGGCCTGCCTGGCCTTGTGAAGCAGCCTCAGTGCGTGGGCCGCCCCGACGGCCCAGGTGGTGTGGCAGAGCCACAGAGCGGAGCTTGCTGGGCCGGCAGCGCAGAGCAAGTCTCTGTGGTCCGCTTAGACCCTTCGGACGGACGGGTGTGGCTGTCCCCACACTGTCCGAGTTCGTCACTTGCCAGGCTGCTGCACCCGCCCTTCGAAGGCCTTTGGCTGGGTCTCCACATGCTCTTACCACCGCCCCGGGTGCACTCCTGCCCACTAAACTCAAGTCCTTGGTCACCCCTGGGCATCCCCAATTATCTCCAGAGATGTGACGAAATTCTCCTAAGAGAAGGCGTCACTCTTACGTGCTCCTTTCTGTCTTTTCCTCTGGAGGAACCTAAACCCAGGACTGAGCGGAAGCTGAGGCCCCCCCGCACCCCCACCTCCCAGCCCGGTCCAGGCCCTGTACGCAGGGGCTTGAAAGTACAGGTCTGGGGCCCTGAGAGCAAACCTTCCTCTATAAATGTGCTTGTGCCCAGCGCTGCTTCTAAGTTGGGGGAGTTCCCTGGAGCCCGGGAGAGCCAGCGTGAACGTTCCTCCGAAGCACAGCGTTCTGGTGAAGTCCATGTGTGAGAACACCGCCGTAACCACACAGGAATTTACCACAGGAAGAATCCCAGCTGTTGCTTATTAGCATTAGAGCAAATTACACAAAGCAAATTGTTAGCAGACATGTTTCCGTAATATTTAACTGGTGGCAATAAATAAGAGAGATTCTCTTTCAAGTGAATGTTAGATTCCCCAAAATCCAGCTTCCAATTGTCCATGAAGGAATCGTCTTCCATTAGGGGAGCCACGGGAGGCGAGGCCTCCCTGGAGGCCGAGGCTCCCAGTGCTCTTCCCTCGACAGCTCGGCCGGCGCGCGGTGGCTTTGGAAGGCGCTGGAAGGCCTGGGGTGTGTGAGGGCAGCGGGCGTCGCCCCTGAGGTGACATCACCAGACGGAAACAGGAATGACGGCATCTCTGGACGTCTGACCAGCGGCTGGATTCACCTCTGGGGGCTCTCAAGTGGCCTTCTCATGCCACCGGGCCTAGGACACTCAGTGCTTGGAGTGTGTTTATGACAGAAAATAAACCGCCGTCAGGTTTTCGCCACTCTCCTCAACAAAACGTGGCACCTCTGCAAAGGTCATCTCATCTACTCCCTCACAATCCCATGTCTGAAGTTTTTTTTAAAAAAAAAAAAGGTGAGGCCCACCTCTCCGTCCTGGTACCCTGCTAGGGAAGCGCTGAGGAAGGGCCCCTCGGAGAACCTTCTCCGTGGGCCCTCACCTGCTCACAGGTGGGAAAACTGGGAAAACCTGGCCAGTTAGAAATAAAGCGGGATCTTCCCACCTGCTGAGACCTTCTGACAATGGCTAAACTCAAGTCCCTGGTCACCCCTGGGCATCTCCAATTATCTTCAGAGATGTGACGAAATTCTCCTAAGACAATCTCAAAAAACAATTAAAAAAATGATTTTAATCCAAAAAAAAAAAAAAAAGAAAAAAAGAACTGTTCCACACAGCACAGAAATACAAAGAATAGGTTATTGCCACTTCCAGGCTTGGGGCTGTTAGGCGAGGTGCTTTTATTGTTTTCCTAAGAAGTTTATAGTTGCGTCTTCCCTCTCTCACTGGGTTCCTTCTCCAGCAAACCAACCTCAGCTCAGGACTCCTTCCCAATATATCGACTTAAATAGCCTATTTGGTTCTCCTGAGGAGCTCTTCGTTCCTTTTTCCTGGGGAAAGGAAAAAGAAAAAAAGAAAGCTTGGCAGCCCGGCTGAAGGGAAATGATGGGGGCCTGGTGGACGCTTTGGTGGGCGCTAGACAAGGCGCTCCAGACGTTGGGTCCCTGCCCCGGGGGGCTCCCAGGCTAGGTGTGCCACCTCGGCACAGAGAGCCCAGGGTTGGGCTGGGTGAGGGCAGATCAGCGTCAGAAGGAGGCGGGCCCAGAACCCCCAGAACCATCCCTGGCTGCCTCTAGGGCACCCCCTGCTCACAGTAGAGGGGGGCTTCCTCATCCTAAGAGCCCAAAGCGGGTGCTGGGGAGGCGTCTACACCAGATGGAAGAGCTGATAGGCTCTCAGCCTCTTCCTTAGGCTCTTCCAACCACTGTTGGACACACACACACACACACACACACACACACACACACACACACACACCCTCTTTTACCCGAAGCCTTCACAAAGGGATTCATGTACTTATGAAATATTTAAAATGATTCAGGCAATAGAATTGCCTCTACGATTTTTTTTTCCTTCCCAGTGTTTAACAGACACGGGTGATTGGAAATGTCTGGACATGAACACACACACTCACACACTCTAATTTGGAATTATGCAAAACTATATCATTATTCACCACAACCTGAAGCAAAGCTACCGCCACGGAATGACAAGTACCCTATCTGCACAAGTGTGAGGTTCCCCAAATCAGCTCACATTTGGACGAAAGTGACACACATGGCCTGACTCTTTAAGGTCCATTTAGAGGAAATGGCCTGGCATGTTTTACATTTGCTAAGCTATTTAGCTGCCTGGTTTGACAAGATTTTTGAAAGGGGTGAAAATTAATTATAATTGCAGTATTGCTACAATAATTTGGTTGGCTAATTGCATTTCAGTGCAAAAAACAGGCAAGGAGGCATTTCCTCCCTGGGTTATTTTCTGATATGGCAGCGTTCATTTTAAGAGTAATGAGATTTTTAAAAAGTCAAACCTTAAATATCATGGCTCCAGCAATCTGTCCTCCTGCTTCAAGTTTCACGCAAAATGAGATCGCACCTCGGTGACAGCAGTTACACGTGAACATGGATCCAGTTTTCTCCCAGACTTGAGATGAGAAAATCTCTCTCCCCCAAACACTACTCCAAGTATCTCCTTGGCCTTGTTTGGGGGTGATTTTCATTTGTGGGGGGGGGGGGCACCAACGTTCATGCTTTGTAGTGAGGGAGGCACTCGTGAGGGTGGGTAGGAAGCTTCGAAGGTCTCTCCACGAGGTATATGTTGATGGAAGAGGCACAGGAGCTTCAGAGGCCTGAGCAAAAACGCCACAGGTGGAGACAGTGAGGATGGGCTGTCGGGGGGCTTTCTGGATCTCACCATTTTCACACTGGTGGTGCTGAACACGTAACCTAGCCACGGCCTTTTGAGGGAACTTATCTAACGCCGGACCAGCCATGAGCACTTACAATGAACAAACATTTTATCACTTTAAAATCTTGGAGGACTCTGTCTGGGGCCTGATTCAGGGTAGTTTTGTCAGGTGTCGAAAGCAACAGACACCAAGCTCTTGCACAGCCTGATGACTCAAGCTCAAGTAGTGAGCACGTCTAGGACATTGTCCTTCCTGTCTCTGTCATGCTTTAGGTCCAGCCACCGTTTGTGTGTCCAAAAAAGTTATTTTGCTATGACGCATTTTCTCAAATACTGCTCATTAGAGCAGGTCTGACGGCATGGCATGGACTCTTTCTTCTGATCTTCCTCTAAGTTCTGACTTCTAGAAGATCCCTATGCAAATCTCCCCTGGCTGCCCTCAAGGCTGTACAGCTCCTGTCCGGCACCTGGTTGAGGGGTGAGGGGGGTGAAAGCCCACCCTGCTCCATAGAGGAAGGTGTGCTTCTCATCTGCATTTGGGCCAAGGGAGACCCTGCGTTTTCCTTGATCGTCACCCTCCCAGAGATTGCAAGGCCTAGTTTTCATCCCCTCCTCTCCAGCACTGTGAATGTTTTTAAGGAAGAGCATATGCCCGCGTCAAAGGTGAATTCGTTTTGAAGATATGTTTCCTCTTCAGCAAGGGAAGATGAATAAAAGAGGGAAAGAGAGAAAGGAGAAGGATAAAAAGAGGAATGAGAGATGAGGATGCCCTCTGCCTAGTAACTTGGGGATTCATCGTCCTTCCTTAGACACAACTGTGAAGGGGTAAAAAAAATCAATTTTTTTCCTATTACTTCACGGTGAAGAAGGAAAACCTATTTGTAAATGGAATTAAACGCACTGATAGCATATCTGTGTATTTGTTGAGAGCTAGAAAAAATAGCCAGCGATACAACTACATAATCCAGCAATGTCACTAGAAATCACTCTCTCATTTCGTAAGCTTATCTCAAACAATTTTTTCCTTCTTCTTCTTCTTCTTTTTTTTTTTAAAGAAACACCCATGGCTAAATGTCACCAGGACTCTTTAGCGTGCCAACACATCCACACCCCAGTTAGGACTCTGAAAGGGAAGGAACTCCCTTCAGGAAGAACAGACTTCCAAATTCTTGCCTTTGCTGCTTGTGCATCTCAGGTCAGTCAATAAGGACTGGCTATGAGCTAGAACGTTCTAGAAGAGTGTTTCTTCCCAAGTTGCAATCTGTGGTACTGACTGTGGAAGAAATTCCCCGTCTGCGTAGGTTAGATGTTACTCACCAAGACCCTAACCCGGCCACAGAGAGCCAAAGCAGCAGCTACTGCTGCAGGGAGGGTCCTGAAACTTCATTTGCAGTCTGCCCTCTAGCGAGACAACACAGTACTTCAAATAACGAGGAATAGAAAAGATTTTTTTTTTTCCCTTTCTCTTTCAGAGAGCAAAAAAATTCAAGTTTTCCGGATAGTGCAAGGTGAGGCATGTTTCCTCAGAAGACAGCTTCCAGAGCTGAATTAAGCAAGGCTCACAAGGATAGGTCCCCGGGGCTGAGTTAAAGACAGGTGGTGCTGTGGTAGTGTCCCTGTAGAGCCAAAGATCTTTCTTCTCACATCCTTGGAACCCTCCAGGGTTCTCCTTGGGCAGTGGCATTGGGTTCCCTGACCTCTCATCATAAAAGTAGGACCCATTCTAAGAGCAACCAACCTATCAGAAACGCTCAAATAATAGGCTTTCCATTATTATTATTATTTTTTTTTTTGGCAAATCATTAACACAGAGGAGCCTTTCAGAAGGGCCACGTTGAATTTTTAAAAAGGCAGAGATGCACACGTTTTATAAAAAGACCAAGTCTTTGTGGCTGTGATTTTTCAGGTGAAAATCCATCTTGTGGAGGTGGCTTGGATGTTGGTAAGGCAGGTGATCTTGAGACCGGTTGTCTGGACTTTGCTTCTGTCCTTTTAAAAACCTTCAGAATTTGGCTTGCTTCAGTTTATCAATATGGTAACAGAGTTTCAGCGCGGGTCCCAGTTTCAGACCCAAGTACTTCATGATCATATCGCTCTTCAGCAACAAGAGAGCATTGCCATCGATCTCCTGGTGGAACAGGATCAGAAAAAAAGAAAATCCAGAAGATGGTCAGATTAATCCAACAGTGGCTACGGTTAACTCGTGGTTGGGGGATGAGGTGATGGAATATGGATTCACTCGGGCACACATTCTCTTAGTCCTAGGGCAGTATCTTCTTTAAGAAAATAAGTTAAAGCAGGCCAATACCATGTGCCCCTCTTCCCATAATCTCCCTGAGGTCATATGACACACTGGATATTTCATATTCCTGCTCCCTCGATTGAAGGAACCAAACCTAAACCCAGTTATGCTCCCAATGTCCCCCATGTGATCCTTCTCTCATCTCCTCTAGGGCTAAAGGAGCAAAACATCTGCAATAGACTGAATGTTTGTGTCCTCCACCCAAATTCAAATGTTGAAATCCTAACCACCCCCCTCTGCCCCAACCCCCGAGTGATGGTATTTGGAGACGGGGACTTTGGGAGGTAATGAGGTCATGAAGGTGGAGCCCTCAGGAATAGGATTAGTATCCTAATACAGCAAGATGGTGGTCTGCAACCCAGAAGAGGGCTCTCACCCCGATCTTGGACTTCCAGCCTCCGGAGCTGAGAAGTACGTTGCTCTTGCTCAGGAGCCAGCCAGTCTATGGTACTTTGTTACAGTAGCCTGAATGGACTAGACCAAGTGTCATCCGTCAGACCCCAAAAGTAGCTGTTACTCTTCCATTTCAGGTGCTGGTGTGAGGCCCTGGTATTCCATCCATCACCCTAGTCTCTTGTTTCTTTTCTTGGTAAGCCCACCGACCTTGAGCTGATTACCGAATTGCTAATTACACAATGACGAGGGAGTTCAGGGGTTCAGTAATACCAGGGGGCATACAACTAACTTATGCACCTGCTTCATCCCAGGGTTTAGCACAAAGAACTACTAAGGGGATGCCAACCCCTCGAGGTCGTGGTCAAGGTCGTTCCCATTTGTCTGAACATGGTAAGTCTCCAGAATGCTTGTTGAATTCATGAACCTAGGAAGGCTGGGTTTCCTCGATCACCTATACTGTTATTTTCAGGTCACAAGAGACAAAAGGTAGATAGTTTGGGTTCTCAGTTCGCAGGAAGAGGCAGTTACAGGACTCCTACAACTGTGTGAGGGCCATCAGCCCCTCTCATGCGTCTAGCCAGCCAGCCGGAAGCACCTACTCCGTATCAGTCACTCTCTGCGTCGTTGGCAAAATAGCAGAGTGGACAAATCTCATCTGCGGGCCTCATCTTCTCTCTTTACCCCACCCCTCCTGGTCTCCCACCGTCCCCTACCACTCTGGAAGAGGGCCAGATCTGTCTCAACAGAACCCACTCTGTGCTCCTTGCTTGCAAGGGCCCACTGTCCAGCGATGTCAAATATATCCCTAATGAAACGTGAGGGTCGGGTTAGAGGAGTCTCCCCAGATCTGACAATATGGTTTCTATGACAGAAGCACCAAATAAAGACAGGACAGATGGGAGAATATCGTGGTAACTGTGCTAGGCCAGAATAACGCTCCCATCCTTCCCCCCAACGTGTCTATGTCCTACTCCCCGAACCTGTGAGTATGTTAGCTTCCCTGGCAAAAGGGAATTATGGTTGCTAATGAGCTAGCTTTATTTATTTATTTTTTTAAAGATTTTATTTATTTATTTATACATGAGAGACAGAGAGAGAGGGAGGGAGAGAGACACAGGCAGAGAGAGAAGCAGGCTCCATGCAGGGAGCCTGACGTGGGACTTGATCCTGGGTCTCTAGGAACAGACCCTGGGCTGCAGGCGGTGCTAAACCACTGAGCGACCCAGGCTGCCCTGAGCTGGCTTTAAAATCAGGGAAGTATCCTGGGTAACTGGGTGGGAGAGACCGTGTAACCACGGGGATCCTGAAAAGTGGAAGAAGAAATCAGAAGAGAGAATCGAAGTTGGCAGCCTGGGAAGGCCTCGCCTGCTGCTGCTGGACCTGAGGCCCAGGGCCGAGGCACACGGGCCAAGAAGTGAGGGTGGATCCAGATGTTGGAAAAGGCAAGGAAATGAATTCTCCCTGGAGTTTCTAGAAAGGAATTGTCAGCCCTGCAGAGGCCTTGATCTCAGCCCCACGGAGATCCCCATCAGACCCGTGACCCCCCTGAACTGGAAGATAATAAAGCTGTGTTGGTCTAAGCTAGATGTTGGTGGGAACTGGTTAGAGCAGCCATAGCAGCAGATGGGCAGAGTCATCCTGGCAGGTGAGGTCTTAATTATTACCTGTTTGTTTTGTTTTGTTTTCATTGACCGTCTTTATTTCGGAATCTCCTAAATAGTTTTAAGACTACGTGCCTACACGCACTGCTGGTAAAGGCCAAAACGGAGGAATAGATGGGACAAAGCTCCCCTCCTAAAAGCCAAACCAAGTGGCTGGCCTCGGCGAGGGGCGCCCCCAGGACCCTGCTCCCACCCCCCCCTCCTGCAGCCCCGGCCCTCCCGCCCCCCAGGCCCGGCCCCCACCCCGCGCCTACGTGCTTTCTGAAGAGCTCCACGTGAGGGCCCAGGGCCTGCGGGTCAGCGTCTTTCACGAACCAGACCACATCCTCCACGGTCCAGGTGGAAGGGTTCCTGCTCCTCGGCCGCCGGGCGTCCTGCCTGGCCGGAGAAGGGTTCGAGGCTGGATGGGTAGGCACAGAGGAGGACGTGAGACACAGGACGAGGCCTACCTGGTGCTGCCTGCCCCCCAACCCCGGCCCCAGGCCGCGGCACCTGTCACCTCCTGTGACAGGCCCCTGACACCCCTGGATGGGTAGGCACAGAGGAAGACGTGAGACACAGGACGAGGCCCCGCGGCCTACCTGGTGCTGCCTGCCCCCCATCTCCAGCCCCAGGCCGCGGCAGTGGCCTGAGCACCTCCTGTGACAGGCCCCTGACACCCTGTGACACAGAAAGGCTGGGAGTGGCTGCTCTGGCCAGGAGCCTGGAGCGCACAGCTAGGCCCCTTCTGGAGGCAGGGCCTCCCATCCAGGCCTAAGTCCTCTGTTCTCCCAGGGAGGGAAGTGTTAGAAAATGGATCTCCTTCAACAGGCTGGGATCCTCCGGGTCCACGTTGGAGATCTGCAAACCCTCCCTGCCCAGCTCTACCTCAGTGAGCCCCGGGCCTCCTGGAAGCGGGTACTTGGTGACCAGAGAAAGCTTGCCAGGATCGATGTCCACCGGACCCCTAAAGTGCTGGGAGGCCAAAATGAATGCAGATCCTCTCGGCCTCCACTGGTGACACTGAGACAATACAGCCATGGCAGGATTGAGGTGCATTCTGGTCCCTGTGCTGGGTCCCTGTCCGTGAGGGGCCGTCCTCTGCTCTGCGCGTGTGACTGCTGCAGGCAGGCACCGAGCACCTTCACGGCCCCCTGCTCTCCCGCGCCCTTGCTCCAATCTACCCCACTAGGCTGGGACGTCCTTGACAGCGAAGGGCCTAGTCCTGTGCCTGGTGCAGAGCTGGCCTTGACGAACGGTGGCTGCGTGAGTTGCACTGTTGCACATGTAGGTCTCCCACATGGCAGATTAAAAGGTGCAGGGCAAGTGAAGGAGGAGGAAAATAAGGAATCAGATGTCCGGCACTTTTTAGGCATTGACTTTTTTTTTTTTTTTTTTTTGTATGTCCCAAACTACCTCATCCTTTTTCCCCAGGCTCAGCATCTCCTCCTACCCCTCAGGTTTCTGAAACCACAGCGACATCTCTATTTCCACTCTATCTCTCCCACCCGTATCTGCTCCCCACATTGAATTATTCTAAAGCTCTTAGAAGGATGCCTCTGACCCCTCCCTTCCACCCGGCTTCCCCTGTCTGGGAACTTCTTACCCAATCCCCTGCAATGGTTTTCTATGGACATCCTTGCCCTGGGATCTCTTCCTTCTACAGAAAAACTGTCTACTGGCTCAGTGCTTTCCCTAGACCCAGCTCTGTCCGTGCCTTGCCTCGGCATGGATTCCAGAGTCCCCACTCTAGGTCAAGGTCAAGGATTCTCTTTGATCTTAATCATATCTCTCCTTCTGGGACAGAGGGGAAGAGTTTTGGTGCCAAGAGAGACCTAGGAACAATCCCGCCACCCTCATTGTGAGCAATTTGACCACGACTCAGCTCATTAGCTGTAAAATGCAATGTTGTCCTCCAGGAAGGGCAAGTGTCAGGACTGAAATGGGATCAGGCCTAGCCCTGGAGCAACCATGCTTCAGATGCTCCAGAGAGGGAAGGAGGTGCCCTGCCTGCCTCCACTGCCCTCCTGTACCCTCCCTGCCCCCACCCAGGCACACGGACCAAGTGTCTCCCCAGCTTCCCTTCTCCGTCTCTAGCCGATGCTTTTGGCTTTTCTCTAAAAGCATTTACCCTGCTGCTTTTCCACAGATGTTCCACCAGCCATCAAAGCCCAGGCGGGCTCCTTTACAGGCAGCATGTCTGTGTCCTGCCACCTGGATATCACTTTCCTCTGCTTTTAACCCCCACAGCTTTGTGCCAAGATGCTGTCCACGATGGCCTTATACTGCAAATAGGCATGCCTGTAACCTCCAGTTCGGTTTACATTTCTTGAGGATGATCATTCTCATCCCCCCACCCCTACCCCATTCATTCCATAAACATCCACAGAGGGTCTCTTCTGTACCAGGTCCTGGGCAAAGTGTTTGGTGAAAAACAGGATCCTCTTGTTACTGGGTTTATAATCACTGACTCCTCCACAGTTCTAAGTAGATGTGTTTGTAAATATGGGCTCGAGAAGTGTAAAATGAATCAATATATTTTGTAGAAACACTGTACATAACTCCTAGAAAAACCTTGAGCAGGTAATCCTTCATTCTGTCTTTGGACCAGAAGAAAGCAGAGGCTCGAACAACGAAGCAGTTTCCCTACAGAATCATCCTATGGCCAGAAGCTTCAGTTTCCCTTTGCCTCCTCCAGCCTCAAACTGCAGTGATTCCCTGATGTCTCCTACTTGCTCCTCTTCTTAATGAGCCCGAGAAGGGCACGCTTCTCCTTCAGTGCTGAGCAGTACAGCATCGTGTTTCCAAATCCTGCCCTAAACTCACCACGGTTTGGCTGAGAATTGCATCTATTTGGAGGTTTCCCCCCGCCTCTTACTTGCTGGGCCTAGAAGGGTCCCCGAAGGTGGGTTGGCATGGGGCATGTGGCCGGGCACCTCTTAATGCCCCCTGGATGCTGATGCATGCTCATTAGAGAGATTTCACCGCATTTAAAGACATCTGCTCTCAACATGGGGACGGAGATCCTATTCGCCTTGGATCTCACCCCATGAGAGCTCTGGCCCTAATCGGGGTGACAATAAAGGCTCTGAATGACAGAGGTCTTGGGTGCCGAGAATGATTTTAGAGGGATCAGAGCAGAGGTCAGAGGGAGGTTCCTGTATCGTACAGGAAGGAAGAGTACCAGACAGATTCTGCATCGTCCCGGGGAGCCCAGGCCCCTTGTGCAAGGTCAGGGTGCTACTTTGCTAGGGGGCCAGAGCGGGGGCTGAGAAGGAGGGACGGGCTTGCCCTCAGTGAGGACGGCTTGTCTTTGCAGTCCAGGTGATGGCCGTGGAGGGAGGCAGCCCCGTTGGAAGCAGCTTCGCTCCTGGAGCCCGGGGCCCGCTGTGGGCATCACTGGCCCTTGCTGGATGCAAGGCAGCAGCCCGGCCGGCGTGGTGCCTGTCTCGGGGCCCTCTGAGTCATGCAGGGCAGAGAGCAGCGGGAAGCCTGGCACACCTTGGGAGTTGCTCAACATCCAAAGCACATAAAGTCACTGTAGAAGGAAGAGGAATGGAACTTTCCAGTGGCAGGTTTGTAAAGCCTCTGCAGTGGCGTGTGCTCTCAAAGATAATAAATACGCCAGCACCCCCTCGGGTGGCGGGGAAGGTGTCAGGAAGACGGATGGGTCGGGCCTGACACCGCCAGGCCAGGCAGGGGTGATTGGACAGCAATAAGGCATGATGGATGTGAAAAGAATCCTGCTCGTGGAGCACCAGGGCGTGCGAAGCGCTCACCGAACGCCTTTATGGGGAGGCAGCGGCGTTCTCCAGCTCAGGGAACTTTGTGCTCTGCGTGTCCCTTTACTGGAGCTGCCGTGAAGAGTGAAACCCGGCTGTGAGTGGATGTGTAGTGGAAGACGGGGTGGTTGTTTCTAAAGTCGATCTCACACACGCCAGGAACGGAGTGCCCATGAATCAGTGTTCACTGCAACCCCAGGCGTTGTCGCGGCCCAGGTACTTGCACTGCTGTGCGTGAGTCCCTGTGTCTCACACATGCCCGCAACCACACACATCATGTCCTTTTGCTCATCCATAATTCAAAGAAAGCTTGTTAGCTAACCGTAGCATCATGTGGGAAAATGGAATGAGCAATGGGCTGGGGGTCAAAAAATCCCCACCACCCACCAGCTGTGTAAGCACCTTTGTGCTTCTGGGTGTGAAATGAGGGAGGTGGGAAGAATGTCTAAGGCTCCTTCCCTCTCTGCCGTTGTTCTGGGCCCTTTATGCCACCGGCTGTCCCGCATGACACCGAGGGAGTCACCTTCTCATGCATCAGAAAGCCTCATGGTTGTGTCCATGTGCAGAACACACTGAACCAGGAGCCAACAACCCCTTCCTGGCCCTGATCATTCTCAGTGGGCTTCGGTTCCTTCATCTTGTTTCTCAAAAGTATTATAGGACTCAAGTGAGTGTGTGGCTTCGGGTTGGAGCCTGATGACAAGCATCTTGAAGCTCATCAGTCTCCAAAAGGACCCCTTGGCCCTCTCAACCCCTCTAGCAGCTGGATCTGGGTTGGGAGGGATGGGGGTGAAGGCAAGAAAAGGGTAGATCCGTTCTCAGCTCCTCCTAGCCACCTGGTCCCTGTAGAATGCGTCCTTCCTAGAAACGAGGCCATGCAGAGTGTGAGAGGGGCCCAGGCTAGCTGGGCAACATAGTAGTTTAAAACAATGTTGTTTTCCATTATTTCTATTATAAGAATTTTCAAGACTCTGTGAGGTGAGAAAGATAGGAGATGGGAGAGAGTCTGACCAATCCTCAAATTTTAATCAGGTTTTTCTTTTTCCCCCTAAAGATTTATTTATTTTAGAGAGAAAGAGAGCATGTGAGCTAGGGGAGGGGCAGAGGAGAAGCAGACATGGGGCTCTATCTCCTGACCCTGACACGGAGATCAGGACCTGAGCCGAAACCAAGAATCCGATGCTTAACCAACTGAGCCACTCAGGTGCCCCTCAGGTTTTTCTTTTTTTTCCTTCAAGAGCAGCTGACAGGATCAGAAGAGAGGATGCCCCTAGAGGCAAGGAGAGCCCACAGGCCTGAAATGAGGCCAAATTGGGCTGGATCCTTCTCTACCACCGTAGACACTGGACAAGCAATTTGACCTCTGCTAAGAAGCTACCAGCCACTCCTTCTCCCCACTGTCCCTGCCCAGTCAACGCCGGCTTCCCTGGTCCAGCTGGCTCCACTGTCACTCCTCAGGGAAGCCTTTCTCACCTCCCTGGAGTAGGCTCAGTGGCCCCCCCTAGCTGATTCTCTCATAGCATCCGTACTTCTCCTTTGGAGCGATAGTCTCAGCTGTCATTAAGTTGGCGCGATACTGCCATTGCACATGGTCAGAGAGCAGGGCCCACGTGTGTCTTGCACACAGCTCCATCCCTAGACCTGAGAGAAGCCCCGGCATAGTATCTGCTGGCTGAAACTGAGCAAAGCCTCCTTGAGTCTCCATCGCCTCACCTATCAAACACCTGCCACGTTATGAGGATTAAATGGGATAATGTGAAGCATTAAACAGTAAGAATTCATCAAAAGGTAGTTGCTATTCTTCTAATCGCTATGATATGTCATTCTCCAACGGCCAATAGATTTGTCTTCCTAAAGTCCATGGCCATCAACTTACCTCCCTCTTCAGAAATATCTGGTTCGCACAAACTAAAGCCCAATTTGCCTGACCTGGACCCCAAGTCTCCCAGCATGCTTTCCCTCAGCATTTCTGCACAAACTCTCTCCTTGCCCTGGAATGAATAAGCTCCTGCCCTGCCTTTGCTCACTTCAGCCCCTGCGCATTGAGCAGGGGCCCCATTCTCCTTTCTTTCTGACTGAGTGGTCTCTCTGTCTATCCACCCAACACCTCACCTGATGAAGCCAACTCTAATCCGTGGGAAGCATTTGGGCGGTCCTACCAATGTCGTATTTACTTCATTTCTTGATTCTGAAACCTGGACCTAATTGTGGTTGGGAATCCTACAGCATGCAAAAGTTAGGAAGCTTTTGTTATTTGAAAACTTTATAGCTCTTGGTGCTATAACATCTTGGACGAGAGACGGGGAAGAGCTCTCCAATTTTTACCCAAGTATCAGCACAAACGAAGGAAATGTGTCCTGTGACGACATCCCCTCAGAGTCCACTGGCAGAGGTCATAGGTACGATATGTCGAGACAGCAGGAGGCCAGGGTAAGCACTCCTCAGAAGGCTGAGAAGTTTGTCGTGTCATCTATACCTACTCTCCTGCCTGCAGCTCGTGCAGTTTTCTGGCTTCCATGGTTTTAAATTATTTTGATTAGCACCACAGGAGAAAATCCATTTTTAGGTCCCTTCTAGGGTTTATGACTTGGGTCAAAGTCAAACCCTCTTAAAGAAGTACAGTTTCTTTACATCTACTTTCACTTGGGATGGAATTCCAAAGCAAGACAGAACAGTTCCTTGGGTGAGGGAAAACTTAATAACCCTCCAGAGGGCCCACAGTAAGCGTCCACACTGGCAGCCAGGTGACAAATGGGCAAGGAAGCCAATGGTTTTCTCTCCTACTTTAATATACTGCCACTCAGTTGAGCATGGCTTATCTCCATGGGTTCCAAATGTGTTTAGCTGTGCAAACTTGGTTCGAGCAAAGCATATGCAAAGCCCCACCCTGCAAATGTGAAGAGGCCCTGGTTAAAGAGGGTGGGGTGTTGGAGTCCTATCTGTTCCCATCCCCTCTTCCTTAGCCCCCAGAACCTCAGCGAGACCCCCTGCATCCCACTGACCATAGCTTGGAAATCCTTGGGGTAATTTTGAAAGACGCAGGCTTTGGAGCCAGTAAAAGTCAAATCTTGGCTCAACATGTGAACGACCTTATCTGGATCTTCGCTTTCTTTACCTCTGCGCTATATACGATAATACCCACTATAATAATATACATGTACTGTAATAGTAAGTTATAAAATTAACTGATAAAAGTCATAAACGATGTAAGGAAAGTGGCTCATCGTAGGTGCTCAATAAGTAGCTATTTAGTATAGGCCTCAAATAAGCAGGCCCCTTTTCTGGGGCTGTGGAGGATTCAGGGATGAGCAAGGGACCTTACAAAGCTGAGGGGCTGTGTCCTATCATGGGACAGGAAAGAGGAAATGCTAGAGATGAGGGAAAAAAGTGCTACAGAAGGAAATCGAGGAAATGAACATTTCTAATCTGAAGGTGTGGTTGGGACTGTTGTTGCCTCCCCAATATCTTTTTTCCTCTTCTTCTTTTGTAACGGAATCCCTGATTTCCAGCTGCGATCGTGGCTGCTTAGAATGAAACCGTATTTCCAGGTTCTCTTGCAGCTGGTGGCCATGTGACGACTTCTGGCCAACAAGATGTAAGCAGAGTGGAGACCTCTTTCAGAGAGGTCAGCACTGCCCTCGGTCCTCATATTCTCCTACCACCTCCTTCCACCTTGATGCTAGAATGATAACTGGCTGGCTTTCTGGTATCAGTGGTTCCATCTAGTGTACTGGTTAAAGGAATTGTTGGAGCATTTGAGAGGTAATGTACCTACAAAGGGTGAATAATTTTATTTTTCTTCAGTGTAACATAGAGGCTCAACAATGACCTTCAGCTGCTACATCCTGCAGCAACTTTACTCTGAGGAAGCTGGGCAGCTGTGTGATTTTTAAAATATCCTATAGCCCAGAGGGGTCTTGCTAATTGTTCATAATTTACTCTAATTTGCTGGGTATCAAAGTTCTCACTAATATTTCTAAGTTGTTTAAGAGACGGTCAGTCTTCAGGATATAGTTGGCAATTTGCTTGGAGTGGAAGTTAGCAGGCACTGCTGGGCTCCAGCTCTCTGATTTTACCCAAGATCCCAAGAGGAAGAAGTCCTGAGTGAGTGGGGCTCTCCTGGGAGCAACCAGAGCTCTAATAGAGAGAGCTCTCTCAGAGCTGGTTCCCAGGGAGGGTCTGGGCCTCCCCTCAGGCAGACTCCTCAGACAGCTAATCAGGGTGTCATTCCGGGAGAACAAAGGGTTGGGATGGAGATGAAAATGAAAGATAAGAAGGTTATTAAGGCTGGGATGAGAGAACCTCCCAGGGCTCCTCTAGGAAGAGACAACAAGGGGCTGGGGAAAGGAAGCTACCTTGAGATCCCTTTGAGGGGTCCCAGATTCCCCTCATCTAGGGCCACCAGATAGACTGGGATGGAGCATACAATTCTTCAGCTAAGGATAGAAGTTCTCTTCATCCAAATCACGCCTTCTTCTTACTGCTTGAATCCTATAGTTAAGACCTAGGGCCAGATACCCCACCAACTTGAATGGAAGAGACAGTAAATATCTCTTTAAAAAGTGTTACCACTCATGGGATTATGAGTCAATTCAATCAGTCAATTCAATTGTCCCAAGAAAATGGGAACTGGGTTGAGGAGAAGGGGTTGAGAGGAAGAGACATATGAAGGCCAGAGGGACACCAAACTGAAGGTTTTGACAAGCAGGGGCAACACGAGGGCACTGGCATCATGATAGGAGCACAGAGACAATGAACACTTACTGACCAACTCTCTACCAGATGTTACACAAACTTGGGGGATAAGCCTAGGAAATAACTGGGGTCCCCTCATTTACTTTAAGATGTTGATTTATGCCACATTTTGTTCTCTTTTCTTGTTCTTAAAAATCAGGTGGAACAGTGTCTCTCTTCTTTGGAAAATGTGTTTTGTCCACTCAAATCTTCCTCCTGGCCAATGACTCTATGTGACCATGTTGGGAAGTAGTCTGTAGGGTGCCACTATACTGGGCAAGAGCCCCCGTGACTGAGGGATCCTGTGCTCTGCTCCTCAGAACTGCCTTCCCCTCCAGGGCTTCCTGCCCACCTTTCTATCCTCAACCAGGAGAGGCATGTGTGGGACCGGGGAGGTCTTTGAGGGGAGCATATGGACGATGTTGGATCATACAAAATAGCTCATCACTGTGGCTTCTCAGGCCTACTGGGAGAGAGATTCAAGGCTCAGAACAAAAATGTGCCTTGCCAGAGAAGACAGCCAACCCACTCAGAGGCTCCAGAGGGGCAAGACGAAGATTCCCTGACTCCTCGGCCTGGGGCCTCCTCTCTTCAGCAGTTTTCAGGTACAGAGCTACTGGGCTGTGATCTGTTGAGAGGTGTGCTCACATGATCCGTGACTAATAATGTTTAGTGAGCTCTTACCATGTCCTAGGTCTTCCTAGGTCTTGCACTAAATACATATATAAGCTTATTTACTCCTTCCAACAAACCTATGAGATAGATGCTATTATTATCATTCCAATTTTACAGGTGAGGAAACTGAGGCACAGAGTAGTCCAGACTTCCAAAAGGTCATACAGTCAGGAAGTGGTGGGTCCAGGATTCCAGTCCCGTGCATCTGGCTCCACCGTCCATGTGATTATCCACTATGTTCTACCACCTTTGTTCATTAATGCAATACTGAAACTTGAAAATAATTTTTTAAAAACCCATAATTCACAATGGATGCCAAGCTATCCCTGGAATGAGAGTACTTCCATGCATTGCGTCCCGACAAGGTACCTTTAATGGGTGAGCCAGAGGTGGTATTACAACCAGCACTATGGAAATGTTTAACTCTGGTATTTGTATCCTGCAAATGTCACCCACTATGGAAGAGAAGATGCTTTAACTGGTATCTGGTTCTTCTTTCTCCTGACACAGAATTTGATCTACATCTTCCAGATTCTCTTAGAGTGAGGTGTGGCAAGATGGCCACCTCTTGCCAATGAAATGTGAGTGGAAGTCGTGGGCATCATTTCCAGGCTCTAGGGAAGAGCGTGTGCCTTCCCTGCTTGCTCTTTCTTTTTTCTACCCGCTAAGTGTTGGGGGGCATGGAGGCCAGGGAATAGCAGAGCCACTCAATGGATAAAGCTGAGCTCACAAATTGGGTTGCATCTGCCAACTGAGAGCACCCACCTTGGACTCTTGAACAAAAAATAAATTTCTGGTGCATTTGAGCCACTGTACGTTGGAGTCTACTTATGCCTACAGCCTAGCCTACTCTAATTTACCACTTTCTTTACTGCGTTCAAAGGTTGAAATTAGCTGCCTTTAAAAACAACAGACATCCATGAAAGGGCTTCTGATTTCCCAGTGTTCTCATGTTCAGACAGCACGGTTCCCCCCTCCACTGCCCCCCACCCCTGTCCCCCTACATGCAGTGATCCCAGGGCAAGGTCTGAGGAGGTTCAATCGCGGGGAAGTCAGAGCATGCATTACATTACCACATCTGTTTCCTTCAAGAGAGGTCCCGTTTCTCTTGGGGCTGGAGACTGGGGGCCTCAGCCCAGGTGCCAAGAGGCCTCCAGAGGACATGGGGCTGGAGCGGGGACCACCGGCAGTGGTGACCAGGCCTCCCCCAAGATGGCCATCTCCAGAGTTCTGCCTCTTGCAGTACAGCGAGGAGGAGGTGGGCAAGGGGCCCCTGTGGCTAAAGGCGGAGGTGGATGGGTCCACACTGTAGCGGTTCATGCCTACAGGGTTCGCCAGGCAGTCCTCAGTGGTGACTGTTTTTGCTAAGTGAGAAGGCAGGACAGAGAAGCAGAGATCAGAAAGCAAGTCAACAGGCTACTTGACAGTTTTGGCAAATGTTTCCCCCCAGCACAGCTGTCACCATCTGCCGGGATGAGAGATGAAGTAGAATGGACCCCACATCACAATCTCAAATAGTTCACCTCTCAACAGACTGAGACCCTTGCCTCACCAACAAAGCATATTATAGTAGGGATGGGAGATGTGCCTCCCTGTGTTCAGAGGAAAGTGATGATTTTGGCTATTGATGACTTGAAAGTAAAATTCAAAGGTCTTTCTCCTTGCATGGTCTTGCTCTTCCAACAGTCTCTCCCAGCTTGTCTCTGCTCTCTTTTCTCTTTGCCCACTAACACTGCCGTCCTCACCTGGCCCGGGAGGCTTTAAGCAGGAGTCACAATATCCCTGAGTTAAAGAAACTATTTGACCTGGGTGGAGATACAGGGGCAATGGTGCTTCCTCCCCACACTTTTAGTCACAGAACACATGAGGGTACTGTCCTTCCTCCAAAGCTAACAAATTGGAGACACAAATGCTGATCTGGTAAGCCCCATGGTCCTCCCTTTCACCTGCAGGTAAGAGGTAAAGAGCCTATCAAAAGAGCAAGAGGAGTAGAGGACCTGAAGAGTCAGCCAACCTCATCATCAGCTCCCCTTTGTCCAAGTAAATCATGACTTTCTACACTTTTAAGGCTCAATCTCAGTTTGTTGAACTCTGTCTGTGAGTTCTACCTATGGTCAAAAAGTGTGGGGTGTTTTGTCTTATTTCTAAGGACAAAGTTCAAGGGCATTATGGGGATAGAAAGAGAAAGAAAAATATTCTACGAATTCCCTCCCATCCCAGACAAGATCATATATGCCTAGTCTCATCAATAATCGTCCCTATACCTCATATGATCAAAACGGATCTTGACACCCACAAAGAAAATGTGCTAGAGTAGCAAAAACAAATAAATCCTTTAAGGTTGGCAATGAGGAAAAACAAGATCCAGATGTCATCTTCATGCATGGATTCCTCTCATAATGCAGATATTGAAAGATTAAGATTTGATTTTAATCAAGGAGCTAGCAATTATTCTCATAGATGGGGATAGATATGGAACTTGCCTGGAAATAAAAGCCATTGCTTACAGGATGACACTAAAGCAGGGCTTAGAGCAAAATTTATAGCTGTAAATACTTACATTTAAAAAGAAGAAAGATCTCAAATTGATAACCTAAACTTTCACAATAAGATACTGGGGGGAAAAAAGAACAAACTATACCTGAAGTAAGCAGAAGGAAGGAAATAAAGATTGAAGCAGAAATTAAGTAAAGACTAGAAAAACAATGGGGAAAATCAATGCAGCCAAAGCTGGCCCTTTGAAAAAAACATCAACAAATTTGATAAACTTTAACTAGATTGACCAAAGGAAAAAAGAAAAAAGTCAGATGACCAGAATCAGAAATGAAAGAGATGACATTATTACAAATCTTATAGGAACAAGATGGATCATTAAAGGGTACTATGGACTATCATATGCCAATAAATCAGGTAACTTAGAAGAAATGGACAAATTACCAAAACTGACTAAAAAAATAGACAATCTAAGCAAACCTGTAACATGTAAAAAGCATGAATTAATAATCAAAAACATTCACAAAGTAACCCAGATGGTTCCATGAGTGGATTCTATCAAGCATTTAAAGAAAAACTAAAACCGATTCTTTACAAACTCTTCCAAAAAATAGAAGAGGAATGTTATGGACTGATGTGTACCTTCCAGAATTCATATTTTGAAGCCTTAACTCCCACAGAGACTACATATAAGGAGATAATAAAGATTAAGTGAGGTCTTAAGGTTAGGAACTTAATCTTAGAGGACCAGTTAGGCAGATAGTACTCACAAGAAGATGAAGAGACATAAGACAGGGCATGCACATGCTGGCTCACGTACATGTGCTTTCTCTCTCTTTCTCCCTCTCTCCTTGTCCCCCAGCAACACAGATGCACAGAGAAGAGGCCAGGAAGGGACATAGCTAGACAGTGGCTGTCCACAAATCATGAAGAAAAGAGAGCTTTCAACAGAAACCAACCCTGATAAGATCTTGATCGTACACTTCTGGCCTCCAGAACTATGAGAAAATAAATTCTGTTGGTTAAGCCCCCTAGACTATGGTATTCTGTTATGGCAACCAACCAAACTGATAAGAAAGGGATACTTCCCAACTTATTCTATGAGGCCACTATTATTATTACCCCGATACCAAAACCAGAAAAAGACATCTCAAGAATAGAAAACTACAGATTAATATTTCTTATGAATATGGATGCAAATATCCTCAACAAAATCCTAGCAGATCAAATCCAGTTACATATAACATGACTTATACACCATGACCAAGTAGGATTTATCCCAGGAAGGCAAGGTTGGTTTAACAGTCAAAAATCAATTAATGTAATATGCCATATAAATAGAATTTAAAAAAAAAGAGCACAATCATCCCAATAGTATGACAAAATTCAATGTCTTTTCCTGATAAAAACACTCAACACACTAGGAATAGAAGGGAACTTCCTCAACTGGGAAAGGGCATCTACAGCTAACACCACAGTGAATGGTGAAAAGACTGGATGCTTCTCCTCCTAAGATCAAGAAAAAGACAAGGATGCTTATTCTCACTGTATCTATGAAATATTTTGCTGGAAGTTCCAGTCAGGGCAATTAGGTAAGAAAAAGAAAGCAAGGGCTTCTAGATGGGGAGAAAGAAAGAAAACTATCTCTTATATGTAGAAAATCCTAAAGAATCCATTAAAAACATTATTGGAACTAATAAACAAGTTTAGCAAGGTTGCAAGATGCAAGATCAATATGCAAATATCAGCAGCTGTGTTTCAGATTAAACAGTCTGAAAATGAAGTTAAGAAAAACAACTTCACTTATAATAGCATAAAATAGAATAAAATATGGAGGAATAGATTTAACAAAAGAAGTGTAAAACTGAAAACTACAAAACACTGTTAAAAGAAAGTAAAGAAAATCTAGGGGCACCTGGGTGATTCAGTTGGTTAAGCCACTGCCTTTGGCTCAGTCCTGATCCTGGGTTCCTGGGATCAAGCCCTATGTCGGGCTCTCTGCTCAGTGGGGAGCCTGCTTCTCCTTCTCCATCTGCCTGCTGCTCCCCCTGCTTGTTCTCTCTCTCTCTCAAATAAATAAATGAAATCTTTAAAAAAGTAAGTAAAGAAGATCTAAATAAATGGGGGAAAATCCCATGTTCATGAATCCGAGGATTACATATTGTTAGGATGGCAATACACCCTAAATTGATCCACTGAGTCAATATGATTCTTGTTAGTACTCAGTTGACTTCTTCATAGAAATTGACAAGCTGATTCTAAAACTCACATGATTTTCGAGGGACCAAGATTAATCAAAACAATCATGCAAAAAGAACAAAATATAGCCTTCACACTTCCCAATTCCAGAGCGAACTACAAAGCAATGATAATAAAGACAGTGTGATACTGGAATAAGAATAGGCACGGAGATCAATGGAATAGAATCGAGAGTTCAAAAATAAACTGATGGGTCTACGTTCAGCTGATTCTCCACAAGGGTGCTAAAATCATTTAATGGAGAAAGAAAAATCCTTTCAACAACTGATGTTGGAACAACTGGATATCCACATGCAAAACGATGTCATTGGACCCTGACTTCATACCATATACAAAAATTCACTCACTACGGGCCAAAGACCTAAGCTTGAGAACAAAAAGGTATAAAACTCTTAGAAGGAGACATAAGAATAAATCTTTATGACCTAGAATTTGGCAAGATATTCTTACATTTGGCACCAAAAGCATGAGCAACACAAGAAAAAATAGGTAAACTGGACTTTAACAAAATTTAAAACGTCTCTGCATTGAAAGATAGCACCAAAAAAAGTGAAAAGATTACCCATGGAATTGGAGAAAATACTTGCAAATCATGTATTTCCTGAGGGACTTGTTTCCAGAGTAACCCAATAAGAAAAAGACAACCTGATTTAAAGATGGGCAAAGGACTTGACTAGACCTTTCTCCAAAGAAGATATACAGATGGCCAATAAAGACACGAAAACATGTTCCCCATCATTAGTCATTGGGAAATGCAAATCAAAACCACAAAGAAGCGTAGCTTCACACTCACAAGGATGGTTATAATAAAAAGTCAGATAATAACAAATGTCGATGATGCTGTAAAAAAAACTGGAACCCTCATACACTGCTGATGTGAATTGTAAAATGGTTCAGCCTCTTTGGAAAACAGTCTGGCTCTTCCTCAACTGGTTCAAACGAGAGTCACTCTACGGCCCAGCAATTCCGCTCTGAGGTGGAATTCACTCAAGAGAAATGAAAACATATGTCCACACAACCATTGGTACATGAATATATACAGAAGCACTATTCTTAATAGCCCAAAGGTGGAAATAAGCCAGAAGACTAACAGCTGATGAATGGATCCACAAAATGAGCCCTATCCACACAATGGAATATTATTCAGGCATAAAATTAAGCAAATACTGATGATACTGCTACAGTGTGAATGGACCTTGAACTATGTGTGCTAAGCCACATATGAAGTGATTCCACTTACACGAAATGTCCAGGATAGGCAAATCTATACATCTATAAATGAGAAAAGGTAGATTAGTGGTTGCTGAGGGCATGGGGGCGGGGGGATAAGGGGTGCTAGCTAAAGGATATGTGCTTTTTGAGGTGTTGAAAATCTTCTACCGTTGTGGCGGCACACTTCTGTGAATACACTAAAAACCACCATGTTGTAGCACTCTTGTACGATACATGAGTTACATCTCACTAACGCTGTTTAAAAAATTCATTGCAGAAGCCTGGTGCTAGGTGTGAACACGTCCTCAAGTGTTGTACGGGCAAGTCCGACAAACGCTGCTTTGGCCGCTGCGACACGAGTAAGCTGCGTGGCCTAAGTGTGTGCATGCTCTGTGCTTTG